TTTCGATATTACATATCTTCATCAGGTCAGCAGACATTGGAATAGAATCAAATAATCAAAAACAAAAACAATGCGTTATAGATAATCAAAAATGAATGATTCACACAATTCGCGCGTTGCCATGAATACGGACGACAAAAGAACACGCACATATATACGCACAAAAACACACACACGCAGAGACACACACACACACACGTGATTCCCTAAATTCGTGATAAAATTGCAAGTACTGCACCGTTTCCGACAACACGGTTATGAGCCAGCAGCCAGGTTGGCTCACGGGGTTGTCAGAGTTGTAAACGGTGCTTGAAACAAGAGTGTCGCGGAGGTTGGTATCACGTCTGTACGAGCATAAAGGTGGGTTTGAAAAGATGTTAGCGGTGATTGGATCGATTTGAAAATTTTTATAATTATCAATTAACAAACTTTTGATGTGCAGGATTGAAGGGTGATAGGTTAAAACCAATGGACATCTGTCTGATGTCTTATTCACGCCGTCTTTTCTAGGGGTTATTAACGACGCCCGATTTAAGGAAAGTATCTTTTTTAATTTCTTAGATAGATCAGATTGATTATAGCCACGGCGTGTAAAACATTCAATCATATTTGAAGCTTTTGTGTTAAAATCAGTTTTTGAGCTGCATATCTTTTTTAGACGTAACAATTGAGAATGTGGGAGGCTATTTTTAGTGTGGCGAGGGTGAGAAGAAGAATACATTAGATAAGAATTAGTGTCAGTTGGTTTAGAAAACACCGAGGTAATTAAGTTTAAACCAGATATAATAACAACCATGTCCAGAAAAGGAAGACTATCAGAGGATGTAGAGTATGTATAATTTAAACACGGGTGAAAAGATGTGACATGGTCGATAAAATTTTGCAATTCAGAAAGTTTCATACATGCAGCTCCAAAAACATCATCGATATACCGAAGATAAAGGCTCGGTTTGGGTCCAGTGAAGGACGCGAACATTTTTGATTCAATGTAGCCGACATATAGACACGCATAGCTGGGGCCCATCTTCGTACCCATAGCGACGCCATTACATTGTGAATAAAAATTCCCATTGAAAGAAAAACACGTTTTGGTTAAAACTAGTTCGGCTAAACGTATCAGGGTATCAGTATTCGGAAAATTATCAGACCGCTTGTTTAAAAAATACCGTAAAGCGATTAAACCCTGATTATTAGGTATCAATTAGGCCTCGGGGCAAATTTATAGTACGGGATTCATTTACATGCGTGTCAACGAACCTCATTTACGCCATTGAATGCGTTAAATGCCAAATTTACTATATTGGCGAAACAAAACGCCGCCTTGCGGATAGGTTTGTTGAACACCTAAGATCTATTCGCCTCATTGCCATGGTTTTCGGTGCTGACCAGTTATTAAATGCAACAACGGATCACCACATTGATGACGTGCGTGCTGGTGGCTGCCCAACTTGACACCATATATTACATAGCTCACGTGCGACACTGACTTGAGCAGAAATTTAACTCTGAGGGTTGGTTGTTTAAATCCCAGGGCGCATGAACGTAAACTTTGTAATTACGGTGTGATTTTTTGCCTTCTTCTTTTGTTTGTTGTGTGTGTGTGTTGTGTCTGTGTGTGGTCCTGTGTGTGTGTGTGTTGTGCGTGTGTGTGTTGGTTGTGTGTGTGTGCTCTTTGTGTGTGTGTTGTGTTGTGTGTTTGTGTGTGTGTGTGTCTGCTGTGTGTGTGTGTCTCTGTGTGTGTGTGTCTCTGTGTGTGTGTGTTTTTGTGCGTGTATATCTCTATATATATATCTGCGATCTCTGTCCGTCCGTCCGTCCGTCCGTCTGTCTGTGGACAAGCATATTGGGTATATGGGTATTTTGTTAGTGCCTTAACTCTTCTATGCAATCTGACTGTGCCAGGTTAGGAATGAATTCACAATAACACAGACATTTCGGATTTTGGATTTTTTGGATTTTCCATTTTTTGCTTTTTTTGGATTTATACGCAATGTCTGTCTTATTCTCAATTCATTCCTAACCTAGCACAGTCACATTGCATACAACAGGTCAATCACGATGGGCATATAGAGCGCAGGGTCCACAGAGAGAGGGAGGGAGAGAGATCGCAGATATCCAAAATCCCCCCAAAAAACAAAAAATCCAAAAAATGCCAAAAAATCCAAAAAATCCAAAAAAATCAAAAAAAAGAAAAAAAAAAGAAAAAAAAAAGAAAAACCCAAACACCTAAAAAAAAAAAAAAAAACCTCAAAAAAATCAAAAAAATAAATCCAAACCCCAACAAATAACAAAAAAAAAACCCAAAACAATCCAAAACCAAAAAAAATCAGAAAACCCAAAAAAAAAACAAAAAAATTCAACTGAAAATCAATTCCCCCATCATGGCCCTTCATCGTGGGCCCTTCATGGCTGCCACGGAGTGGCTGTTGGCCTCTAGTATATATATATACTAGCAAATACCCGTGCTCCGCACAGAGTTGAATGTTTGGCCAAAGTCGACTGTGGCATATTGTAAACCGGTAAATATTTGTGGCTGGTTTTTTTGCGGTTCTGGTAAAATTTCCTAAAAGATCTAAATTTTACCCTTTTTAAATTTGCGGACATGAAGACATCCCTTCAGTTTACTCCATAAAAACAGCAAAATTTAAACAGCCAGCTAAAATAAAGACATCCCTTCAGTTTACTCCATAAAAACAGCAAAATTTAAACAGCCAGCTAAAATAAAGACATCCCTTCAGTTTACTCGATGAAAACAGCAAAATTTAAACAGGGTTACAGTAGTAGTAGATTGATATTAGAAGTTGGGTCGGTTATGGGGGTGGTGCTACCTTAGTCGTTTAAAAGATTTCCTTGTAGATGACATTTTGCGTGAGAGTCCTGTTGTTGAAAAGGCCTTGTGATGAATGTTTGTCCACTTTGATGTAGATGTTGGAGTAGCCGCTGGCACGTGAAAAGGCAACATATAGCTGGCCGTGGGAGAACACAGGGGCTGGGAGGTATAGAGTCCGAGTTTGTCGAAAGTTTTGCCCTGGGACTTGTTTATAGTCATAGAGTAGGCAAGTCTGATTGGAAATTGAATCCGCTGTAGTGTGAAGGGAAGGTTTGCGTCGGATGGGGCAAGTTTAACACGCGGGATGAGGACTTTTTGTGAGACATGGCTTCCAGTGAGGATTACGGCATCTAGAATATAGTCGTGGGGGTTCTTAATGTATAGTCTGGTGCCGTTGCAGAGTCCTTTAGTGATATCTAGGTTCCTTAATAGCATGATTATTGCTCCTGGTTTTAAAATGAGGCGGTGTGGAGGCATGCCAGTAGGGGTGATGGAGTGAAGGAATTCCATGGGGTAGTTGTTGGCCTCGTTTTCATTATGCGAGATGGCTTTGTCTGCACTGGTGCAGGTTTTGGACAAACCTGGTAGTTTCGTTATGACTTTATATTATAATTATGTAAAATATTATGTACCGTACATAGGCCTAAACAGTTTTGGTGCGTGTGCAGAACCTAATGTCGGACACAGAAGAAAGAAGTGCATCGATATTATAAGATGACGCAGGACACACTATTTCTTCAATGCAAAGCCAGGAGCTAATTATAATATAAGAACCAATACACGTGCATTCCTTGTTATCACTTCCACATATGTATATCAGTCTACAGTCACACGTACATGTACATCTCATCTAAATAATGTGAAATACATGTATAGTGAGTGACACAATAGAAATCGTGCCTTTATCATGTCCTTAAACCCCCCTTTGTCATTAAATAGATCGCCTAGATAT